TCAATTTTAAGCGACATTTTGGTGATTCGAATATTGTAATTGATATTTTAGATTAATATGTGTTACAAGTTCCTAAAGGCTTATAGCTGATATTTTTTCGTTAAATTGTCGACCATCATTTACAGATAAAGCATCAACATGTTGATATTGTTTATTCGCTTAGCTAGGGCATATTTTGACAGACTCATTGTCGGAAACCTACAACACAACAATTCCTACTTCTCAGTATATATAGCTCAAGTATACTACTATTGCAGACTTCTTTCTTTGAAAAAAAGAAGAATTATTCTAAATAGTGGAGGTGTATACTAAACCCATCAAATTTTCCCTGTATAAATATAATATTTGAATTGTTACAATTTAAAATATTGTAGTAAATATTAGTATTATTCACGTTGTTTATTTTATTTAATATAGTTTTATTATCTTTGTTTAATTCTTTTGTTAGTTCTATTCAGTTAATTAGTTATATTTTAAATTTTATTATTATGGATAGTCAAAGTTTTCCATTTGTTCCATCAGCTAATGCGTTGGTAAGTTTTTCTTAATAAATATGATAAAATGTTTTTTAAAAGTTAATATTTTTAGATTAGTTGTTTCTAATTTAATATAAACTTATTTATACTTACATGGAGGTTTTTGTTGTTTGTTTGGGTTTATATGACTGCAGACTGCGGCCAGGATACTGAATTCATTCACCATATGTGGAAGATTTTAACATCCTCAAATGCTAATGAGCAAAAATTACTATTGAACCACGAATTTTCCTAGTCAAATTACTAATATTTGCTTTTAGCATATGGAAGTACACTTATTTTGTAAGATAATAAAACAACAGTTTATGTTAATGCAATCCAATGAACTGTTAATCTTTAATCATTGATTCCATCCTAGTCACAACATAAGGAACTTGCTATGTCTTATTTAACCTCACTTTGACTTTTTAATTTTGTAGAATTTATTCCCACCTTTTTTTATTTTGTACAATAAACAATTTTATTATTTGCTATTAATACATTATACGGTGTAAATAAATAAATATTGATTGTCGGCAAAGTTCTATTTTATTTACTTTTGTTTACATTAATATTGACTAAGAGCACGTATGCTTGGTTGTATAGTATTTTTCAGCCACTTCGAGTCTGTCAAAAAGTAACTAACTTCGCAAAAAAATAATTACTAAAATCACTAGACAGTTCGGACTGGGAATAGCGAACCGGGTATAGTATTGATTTCTGCACAAATCTAATACACCACGGTCACCAAAAGTTCATAATTTCATGTTTATAATAAAGTTTGCAGAATCTCTGCTTGGTTCATTAAATTAAATGAAACAGTTAAATTTACTAAAGAAGGGTTTCTATTTGGCGGTAAATTTTTCGATGATTATAAAACATCTAAAGGATTGTTCTAACTAAGGTCACTAATAATAGTAATAGGCAAACATGGCCTGGGAGTGATGAATAAAAACGGAGAGCGGTTTACAAATTTTTGTTCCAATCATGGCTTATTTATTGGTGGAACCATCTTCCCGCATAAAAGTATCCACAAAGTTACATGGATTGCACCAGGTCATATAAGAGAAAATCAAGGAGATCACATTGCCATATCAAAAAGATGGAGATCATCTCTTCTTGATGTACGTAGTAAAAGAGGAGCAGACATCATCTCGTAATCGGTACCATTAAAATCAAGATGACAAAAACAAAATCACGCTAAGTACCAATAGACCAACATACAATCTAGACAAATTAAAAACGGCTCCAGGACGACACATGTTTAGGGAAGAACTCCAACTCAAAACAAGAGAACGTGGTTATACAGCCAATATGCAAATTTCTTTGTTGGTTTATTTTCGTCTTTATTTTCTCTTTCTATATTTTTATAAAAATGATGGTATTCATTGACCTTGAGAAACCATAATATAAGAGTTCCTAGAGAGATTCTGTAGTGAACGCTCAATAAAGAAAGGATTTCTCCATGAATATGTGAAGATTATGAAAGACATGTACGAGGGAGAAAAACTAGTATAAAATAGGCTGATAAGTTTCATGTGAAAATAGAATTGCCTCAGGACTCGGTGTCCTGATACAAGGTAACATTCCCTGGTGTTTAATGGATGCTGTGTTAGTAAGAAATACTGAGAGGTTTAAAAAAACTAGGTTTAAAAAACAGTACAGATAAGCTCTTGAGGAACAAGGTTTAAAACTTAGTAGAACGAAAACAGATTATTTTCTACAAATAAAATGATAACTTTGAATAATAAAATTATTGCAAAAATTAAAAATTATTGTAGTTTTTCGGTATTTTAGAGTAATGAAAAAATAGGTGATGATGCATGTATTAGATTAAGGGTGGCATGAATGAAGTGGAAGGACGCGAGTGATGCGTTTTGTAACAGAAAGATTCCTATGAAACTGAAGGGGAAATTCTACAAAACTACCATAAAACCAACTATGATGTATGGAACTGAATATTGGGTAGTTAAAAAGAAAGAGGAACAAAGAATACAGTGACAGCAATGAGATTACTTAGATGGATGAGTGGAGTGGCAAAAAAATGTAAAATTAAAAATTAGCAATCAGGGGATGTCTATGGGTGGCATCAATTGATGCGAATATAAGAGAACGTTTTAACGAACGAGAGAAATTATATCATTCAATTCCAAATTTGAATTGAAACGATTTCATAAAGGCAATCTGCAGTATATTTTGAAGATCCATTCAAAATATAACAAATATTATGCTTGATACAATAACATCTAACAAATTTAACCAACAAAGCTTTTTCCTCTTTCCTCTTGAAAAGTTTCCTCTTGAAATGAAGAAGAAACTCTTGAATATGGTACTAGATGGCGTCATAATCAATAGGGAAACAAAGTTATAAGTGCACATTATGATTTAAGGTTAGAACCATAAGGATTCAAGTACAACGTAAACGCGATTACAGTTAATAAAATGCCAAAATATTATTGATAGGGAATCTTGGAAGATTTTTGAAGCTCAGAGTCCGTAGATATATTAGAAAATGATAGTAGAAGGAAAAAGTAAGTTAAATAAGTCATACTAACCTTCATTGCATTTTAAAAACATAATAACTCTTACATGCCGGCGTATTTAATTCAAAATCAACTGATTCTGATGCTGGCGCTAATCTTCAAAAACATTTTGTATCTAAGACCGGAAAAAGAAGATTCATGAAGTTACAAAACAAATTATCCTTTTTACAATTCAGCTTACTTTTAGATTGTTTCCTGAAATAGGAGAATCTTCCAAAGTTGCCAGTGGTAATTCATCTTCTCTATCCAAATAAAATGATGAACTGGTCAAACAATCAATATATGCTTTAAGGTATTTTTTTCAGTTTTTTTTTTTAATAAAATTATATCTTTTGTAGCGACACATCAAGTAAAGAAATCCTTTACAGCGAAAGAAGAATTTTAGAAAGGAGAATTTTCTAAAAGGGAAATAGTATGTTAATGTCAGGTATAGTTAAGCCGGAAAAAAAATTAAAACAACTAATGATTGTACAGAGAGTTGTCGATTTAATAGCCTTTGGTCCGGAAACAATTTGAAGTATAATTTAAAGTAGACAATCACAGTAAGAAATTTGTCAGCGTTAACATCCAAACTACCAGGGGAAAAAGAAGAATAAAGGATTGTGGTAGTTTTAATACTGAATATATCCTACAAATAATTCCAAAGCAAAGTCCGTAACTAAGAACAAACAGGAACAAATAGAATTTGCATAATAAATGGATGCAGTTGAAAGGCCAGCTTTACATTAAGAGTTTGCTTTCTGAATTTCAAAAGAAGTAAAAATAGTTTAATACGAAATCCTTTAAGGAAATAATTTTTTTTGTATGTTAAAGTTCTTGATTTTTACACTAATACTTATTTTTTTATTCAAAAATATCCATTTTACTAATTAATTTTAATTTTTGTATGCCTTAGAGAACAATATTGTTTCAAATACACCGCTTACAGTGCCACAAAGTTCCTATTACAACTGCAGCTTTTTCCAAAACAGCAAGATTAACATTAATCTAAAACAAGGGTACCTGAGAATAATTTTAATGTTCCAAAACACCTGTACAATGTTCTCAAATCCATTTGGATCCAATTTCCTCTATTAGAGTATAGAGATTGAACGAATTTAAAACGGATCATACAATTTAATATATGTCTGTTTGAACTGCATTTGAAATAGTGGACCAATATAAAACTTGGACAAAAATAAATCCATACCTGGGTTTAGACATTGTATAAAATATCGTTCAACTATCTGTCTCGGAACAATGTTGTTTGCGTAACAATGGTTTGCGTAAAACTGGTTTGACAGCATAATAAAATCGTAGATTTATGTGTAGCTTTCAATTTTTATGATTCCAGAATCCAGCAGCCCGCTGAAGTATTGGATTTTTATAATATAATTATTTGACAACCTTTTTTTGGCCAACCACCTACAGCAAAATTGAGCCGAAATACATAATATTTCGTATGTTTCGAATTTATGTCGTTCAATCTGTATATTATCAAACTACAAACTTTAAAAATAGATTTTCTAAAAATATTGGAATAGTCGCTTTAAACCCTATAGTTCTCGGCCAATAGGAAGACGATCAGTAGGAAAATGATGAAACGAGAACTTACTGGAGGACATTGAAAAACAGACAGAATCATATCGGACAGGAAGATCCAGTATATTTATAATTAATTTTAAAATGCGACGCTTACAGCTACCTCTTAATTTTTGTAATAAATACCTTTTTTTGGTTTCTCATATAAGCGATATAACGGACTTTATCATGAAAGTTGATCACCCTGTATAAAATATATAAATGATCTATGTTTTTACCCAAATGTTTGTTTTTTTATTTTTTTATCTATTCTAACTTAGCACATAAGTTGTACTTAATTATATAAAGGGTTTTAAACCTATTCGATGGTTTGAAATTGACTAAAAAGTACTGATTTTGTAAAAAAATAAATACGCGGAGAGGGTAATAAAAATATTGCTTTTTAAACCAATTGTTGTATTGTTTTTAAAACCATTATGTGTTAAACAATTTTCTTGAGGCCTTTTTTAGTCTGTAACGACTAAATTTAAATAAAAATAGAATTGCTTGTACAGTATAAAGTATAGCAGTTGCTTGGTTTAATGTGTAGATTTAAACTTATCTATATCTTCACATAGTTGTAGTTTTTAAAAAGCTGTGTGAAAAACTTTTCACTAAAGAGGTATATCAAGACACTTGTACTACCCTACTTCAAAAAGAAAACTAATAGTTTTATAAAATAGATCTTTACCAATATTCAATGACATTATTCGTAGTCACTGCTAAGCCGATATTTTTATTACCCAATTTTTTTGTTAAAAACCGGATAACTTCCCTATTTTTCTTTTAATTTCTGTCCCTCAGCGGAGAGTCCATCCTGCTGGAATTAAGTGTTCTGTTTGGACTGCCTATGTTTTCCTTGTCCTCTTTGGAATGTTTGTTTTTCTTAAATAACTTCATTGGGTCTTGGTCCTCAGTTTTGAACTTTTTGGAGGTTTTGGGAGTACGTGGTTTTTCATTTAATGTAAACTAAAAATTTAAAAGACAAAAAATGTAGAAAAAAGTAAAACAAAAATACTGATCGTGATTTATAATAAATGCTCATAATATGTAAGATTAATAAGAAAAATTCAATCATTTTCCTGGTTGGACCACGTCAGATTTTGTTAAGTCGAGCTTTCGACTCCCTCTTTGGAATCACTATCAAAACTTAAGGGGTCTCGGTCCCTTAAGTCCACACATCAATTCACTACTGCGACGTAGACGTGACGTATTTCGTTGAAGTGATGTAACCAGGTGTCTTCACCTCTCTTATTAACACAATTATGTCGTTTTTACTGTCAATGGTTTCTAGGGTAATCCCTAGTTGTAGAAACGAATGGAGGTTATAGTTTTGGAATTTTCAAAACTAATTTGTAGTTTGTACGGAGATGATAACCAAAAACTGAGTCGAAATTGCGAACTGAAACCGACTGTTCATAGTTTCTGTTTTGAATTTTTTGGATGGTTTGACCTATATAACCCTGTACCTGGTCCTGTAGCTTTTTAACTACATCATTTGAACGATAATTTCAATAGCGTAGTGCTTTACATACCCTAACTAAAAAGGTTGCTTTTAAACTTTTATTAGTGTTAAGAGTAGCAGCACCATTACAAGGTTTGACAAATTTTATTTCAATATAGTCAAAAGTGAACATCTATGGGCGTACATGTTGCGTAAAAGTGAATAAATTTTGCATTATAAAAGTAAGTAAAAACTTGTTTTGTACAATATTTTGGCTTTACATTGAATATAAAGGTTCATTACTTTAGTTTTTTTTTTAATATTTACAGTAATAAAAGACCTATATAACGGTAAAATCTGTATTCAAAACACTATGTATGTAGGTAAAAAAGCAACATTACCATTTTATAAGTTTTTGTTGTTGCAGATTTACAAACAAAACTATTTTTTATTATAAATTTTAATCCAATCAGAGCTGCATGTTTTTATGGGAAGCAAAAAACGCTTGCAATAATTCAAGTAGATCTAACTATTTCAGATCTTTCCAATTTATTTGATTTAAAAGAAAATCATTTGCAATACGAAAATATTTTCGATAACTTTGATAATGAAATGGGTCCAAACAATATGGTTATACACGAAATAGATGAAGATAGAGAAGCTGAAGAGGAAGGAGCAAACAAAGAAGAGGAAGTTATAAGGAGAAAAAAGCAAAAAGAGATCCTACCCATTTCAATTGGGCAGAAGATGATATCACAACTACTTTCATTTCTGATCCTGATCAATTTTTCCGTGGATAGGTAGCTACGCCTTTGGAGTATTTAGACTCCGACAAAGTTTAGTTTGGGAATATGACTCATAAATCGACGATGCGCAGTGGTTCTTGTTTACTAGTGTTACCATAGAAACGGCCAGTTTGCTGTTTGCCAGTGGCGTAGTGTAGTCGTTTAGCGCAGAGAGTGTTTGACTTGTTGATTTGATCGTGTTGGATATTTTATTATTTTATTTTATATTAGTGCTTAGTATAATATTGTTAGTAGTAATTAGTGAGTTATTAAGTCATTTAGTGTATTTGTAGTGTGTTAAGCTTTATTAATAATAGTTATTTAACAATATGGCTTCTAAAAAGATAGGAACTAAATAGCCCAGCAAAGGCAATGATTTATAATGTTACTACATTTATGGAACAAGAGGCGGCATATTTCGAAGCAACCGAAAACCTGTTAATACCTTTAAGGAAATTGACGTAAGTATTGTCAATGATATTTTATTTTCTTATGTGTGTGTGAAAGATATGACACGGAAATAAATTCATCGGCCACAGAATGTTTTATTTATGTTTAAAGATATTTTTTTTGTCCTTGTTTGTTCCTTTTTTTAGATATATGTATAAATCACTGAAGTTATATTAATTTATTTTTCTACTTTCACATCTTTAAAGTTAAAGTGGGGTGCATCTGGAAATATGTATTTTGCGAGTTTTCAACAATATTCTCCCATTGCTGTTCCTATTTCAGTCTAATTTTTCATTCCATGGTATACCTACATGGCCTCTAACCCAAATAAATCTTATATTTAAATTTACAATCATGTTTATTAAACAACATAACATAGGACACTTTATTTCTTCAAATTTTGTAATTTTTGAGTAAGTTTTTGGATATTAACCATATTATATATTGAGTATGCCATTGGATGATAACCAGGTAGTACAGTTTTCTAGTAAAAACCCTGATATAGATACATTTTTAACAAAAACGGTAGATACAATTCCTTTACAATTTTGCTTACTTAGTAAACAAGATTTACTTTCCAAATAATTTAACTATTTCTATTTATTTAAGGTATTTATCAAAAACTAAAGAACAAAGAAATGGGATTTCCATGGTCAAAGGAATCATTAAGGAAAATCATAATTGGATTAGGATTTAGGTATCACAGTAAAATAATTATTTCGCTGAACAAATAAAACTATAATGGACAATGTGTTTTAAATTGATATTTTATTGGCATTGTTTTAGTTAAACTTATGATGAATATGAATAGTGTCTTTTCAAAAGTACTAAATATTTGGATAATCTATTTCGGTTCCGGTTTCCGAAAAACTGTAAACAAAAAATACGATACTATTCTACATAATTTTTGTTTTTAACAAATAAATTGTTCTCACTTCTGTATGTTGTGATACATTTGAAATTTAAACCATCATACTTTTGAAAATATATTTTTCAAATTATCTTGAACAAATTACAGGTGGAGAACAACCGAAGACAATCCTCCTCCTCAATCCTTTAGCCCTTGTCAAGGCGTAGTGACATCCTAAATATTATTAGTCTGCTGTCTCCATTGACTGCGATCTTGTGCCATATGGACGGCTTCATGTAGGGATTTTCCCACCAAACTCTTCATTTGGTCCACCCATCGTATTGGAGATCTTCCTCTTGGTCTTCGGCCTTCTACCTTACCTTCTACTACCAATAGTTCCATGGTGCCCGTTCTTCTAGCTATGTGGCCGAAGTAAGTTAGGTATGCTTGGTTTACTTTTTTTAGTAGCCTGTCTTTTATATGAAGCTCTTCCAGAATTGACAGGTTGGTTTTATGTTCTGTCCAGGACACGCGTAGAATTCTTCTATATACCCACATTTCGAAGGCTTCGATCTTACTCCTATCGATTTTTTTGAGAGTCCATGTCCGAAGACAATAGGAGTGTCCTAATGGAAAAATATCAAATTCTTTTAAAACGAATAGAATATTTAAAGAAGCTAATTCAATTTCGATCTGACGGTAGAACCATGGTTTATACCGACGAAACATATATACACACCAGCCATAGTCTGTAACGACTATTTTGCTTACCACAGGGTAAGAATATGGGGGACAAGATTGAGCAAACAAAATAATCGAAACAAGTGCATACGGACACTCAGTTGGTTGTTGGAGAGCTGTGTCGGGGATAAGTTGAAGATATTGGGGGTTAGATTGGGGCAACTACAAAGAAAAGAAATAAAGGGGTACTTATACAAATCTCTTGGGACAAACAGAATGAAAATAAACGAAAACACCTCAAGAAATTTAATATAGGGCGCCACTTGAGGTGCCCAATTATACCTATTACAACCACTAGTTGTAACTAGGGAAATAATTGTATAACATCAAAAATATAGAAAAAAATATCTTTTTCAAATAAAACTCAAAACAGATCAGAGAAACAAATTAAACATTTATTTTTGTCTCAAACAAAACAGATCAAAAATACATATTATAAAAGAAACATATCATATAACATAATACAAATAACAAAAACTTACATGTTCTTTGTTTACTATATTATGGCCAATTAGATTATCAAAAATTAAGGATCTTTCTTAATGAAAACATATAAATTTAAACTTATATATGAAATATCGTTTCTACATAATTATCAAATTAAAATTGTCATAACAAAAAAAACAAATTAAACTTGCTGTCAGGTATCACATTTAATTTTGATGACAAAGAATGAAAGCAATTATTACTTTAGCCAAAAAATATCTGTCTTTACTTTGAAAAATTAATATATTGAATTGTTACCTTAATGTTTTTTTTTATACAAACACTTTGAAACTTTGCATCTCTGGGGAAGCTACTCGGACAAAACTTTCAAAACTGGAAGGCAGCAACCATCAGGAACTAGTTCTACACTCCAGGACAAAACGATAGGAACAGGAACTTGGTGGAAGAATCGAGCCGACTACGGGGACATCCTATATCATACTTCTTTAAATATTTAGTAGTTACCCTTTTCAAAACCTGTCTTATTACAGAGGGTAATTGTTCCTCTAATTAACAAAATTTGTCGACTTTTTTCTTCGAGAAGTTCTTCATCACTTCCTCTCAAATCTTTTACTCCATTCCCACATGTCTGCCCCGCTTGGAACTTTAATCTCGACTCCTTTTCACATGTCTGCCCCGCTTGGAATCTAAATCTCGACTCCTTTATCACATGTCTGCCCCGCTTGGAATCTAAATCTCGACTTCTTTATCACATGTCTGCCCCGTTTGAAACTTAAATGTCGACTCTTTATCACATGTCTGCCCCGCTTGGAATCTAAATGTCGACTCCTCTTGCTTCGTTACATTTTTCAAGAATCTAGCCAAAAATTTCCCTTCCGTCTTGCAGCTAACCTGTCCCCACAAACTCAAGAACCAAAACAATATCCCCTCGCTCGTATCGACAAAAAAACCTTTTAAATATTCCTTTATTGCCTAAACAAACAAATATTCTTTTTTTGACCCTCGACTAATAACGAAAAACAACTATAATATTAGGGGAATTCATATTTATTGCGTTTTTAACGAAGAAAACAAATAAAACCTTTTTTTTATCAGGGGGCATCATAAATTTACATAATACAAATTAACAAAATACGTGCGTATTTTAAACTTGAGTTTTACCTGGCTTATAACAAAAGGTTCGATATTTGAATCTAAACACAGACAAAAAAACATCTATATTTACTTTTGAATCGGTAGAAATATACGCATT